CTTCCTTCCTTCCTTCCTTCCTTCCTTCCTTCCTTCCTTCCTTCCTTTCTTTCTTTCTTTTGAAACAGGTCTCCATATAGCCCAAGCTGTCTTCAAAATCAGTATGTTGTATATTGAGATTACAGGTGTACCCTACCAGTCCTAGCTTTTAGTGGTAGAATTTTTTTAATTATAATAAAGTGACTGAAACATTCAAGTCATGTAAGAATAAATAATTTACTATTTTGGGGCCTGATCCCAAGAAAATGTCTGCCCCTTATTTCTCAATCTTTACTCTAGGCTTTAAAAGTTTCTTTGTGAGTTCGAGACCAGTCTGGTCTACAGATTGAGTTCCAGGACAGTCAGGGATACACAGAGAAACCCTATCTTGAAAAACAAACAAGCCAAGTAGCCAAGTTTATTTCTACATCATTTTGCTCACGATCCCTCTACTTCCCAGTTTCTCTAAGCACCGAGTGTTATTTTCCAACACTAGCAGCAGAGCCTAAAGGAGCCTCATGCACAGTGAGAGCTGTGGACCAGCCTATTGTTCAGGAACTACTCGACAGAAGAGATGTGTGAAAGAAGGAAAGGATGGCAGAAGTTGAAATCAAGAACTGCTGCTGTTGGGGAATAAACAGTTTCACACAGTGCAGATAGCAATGGAAACTGGAACCACCTCTGTGGGGGCTAAATGAGCACCAGCTATCAACTGTCGATGTGGCAGATCTGCTTCTTGGAATGCTTTTTCTTGATAAATAGCAGATATACAAGAGAACTGTATAATGTCATTGTTTGTATTAGTAAAAAAAATGGAAATAACCAAAATTGCCATCAGTGGAGAACTAGGGAAATAAATTGCAACTTAGTAGAATACCATTAAGAAGAATGGTGACATAATATGCTAAGAAAGAGACATGTGCTTAGCATATTCAAAGCCTTGGATTCAATATTTTACAACCCAACCACACAGAAGTCAAATTTATGACTATGGACATAGGATAAACCTGTGCATGTGGAAAGCCAGAGTGCAGAGCAGGGTGTATGGTGTGGTACTGCCCATGCTTTTCACATATGCAAATGATCTGGGCATGGGGTCTCAAGCCTGTATTTCTAGCACTTGGGAGTTAGAGGGAGGCATTTCAGGAGTTCAAGGCTAGCCCAAGGTACACAGCAAGCTAGAGGCCATCCTGGGCAATATGAGACCTTGTCTGAAGAGGGGGGAAATGTGTGCACACCTATTCATGCATGGAAGGAAATACAGTAGGTAATTGTGGTTCCTTCTATCCTCAGGAACAGAACTGAAGGACTGAGAGACAAGAGTAGGAGGGAGGATTACTTTTCACTAGAAATGTGTGCTGTTTGTAGATTTCACTGTGCACTAAGAAAAAAAAAAAAACCAAACCCAAAATTCACAAAATATTGGTGGTTTAAAAAACCTTTGTTTAGCTATTTGCAGATGAATGCAAATGTAAATTACCTATAAATAGCTGTCCTAGAAATCACAATGTAGAGCCAGCTGGTCTCAAATTCACAGAGATATTCCTGCCTCTGCCTCCTGAGTGCTGGGATAAAAGACACACACTCCATACCTGGCCCACAACTATTGTTAAAAGAAGACACACCCACCAGGTGGTGGTGCACGCCTTTAGTCCAAGCACTTGAGAGGCAGAGGCCAGCCTGGTCTGCAAAGCTAGTTCCAGGACAGCCAGGGCTACACAGAGAAACTTTGTCTTGAAAAACAAATAAAAACAAGAGAAGAAAAAAAGAAGACAAAGAGGGCCCACTCAGAAACGAAGACCAGCTAGGCGTAGTGGTGAATGCATTTAATTCTGGTAGTCAGGAGGCAGAAGCAAATAGACTGATGTTTGAGGCTAGCCTAGGAGACATAAGCAGTTTAGGCCAGCCAGGGATATGCATAAGAACTTGTCTCAAAAGAATATTTTGTATCTTATGAATATCACAGGACACTAGGGCCAAAAGGAGTCTTAGAAACTAGAAATATGGGACCTGGGGTCAGTGAAGTGGATCAGTGTATAAGGGCATTTACTACCAAATCTATTTTGTCTGACTCCCAAAGGTGTCTTCAGTTGTCCTCTAACCTCAATATACATATCCATGCTTACACGTACGCATGCTTGCTCTCACGTGTACGTGCGCATGCGCGCGCGCCCGTGCGCACTCACACACACACACACAGAGTAAACATATGAATATAATTTAAAATTATTGTTAAAGAATTTAGAAAACTGGTTCTCAAAGAGACACTTATTTTTTTCCCAAGGGGAGAATAGTTTGTTTCACTGTGGCTTTGGCTGCTAACCAATACTGGCCACCAAGGACGTCAACTGTAGTTAGTGTCAACCTACCTCTGTGAGCTCTTTGGTCTCATTTTACCTGTTAGAAGGGATCCATTCTGAAACTGGGAAGTGGGCCTGAGGTGACAGCTTGGGGAGGCCGTGCTGTTTCTATGGAGATCAGCAAAGACTTCTAGGTTCTTCAGCGTATACTTGACCTTTGGCCTTCTCTCTGAATATGCAAGATGGACTCTCAGTCTCCTCCCAGAGCCAAGGCACTGCAGGGTAGTTATAGTCTGATTTTCGATGAATGGGGCCTCTTTGATGTCTGTGTGAATTTCTGGAAGAACTAAACGGAAAAACAAAGCGGTTCTTAATCTGCATTGTGCAGATAACTCACTTTCATTCGTGACTCCTGTTGAACTCCACGGCTGCACTTTGCCCTCCTTTGGTTCATCTCCTGCTCCGTCTGTGTTTATGGTACGGACTGTGCAGGTTCTGCTCTCCTTCCTGCAAGGGGCTATTGAAGACAAGCGACTGCAGTAAATCCAGCACAGAGCAATGCTCATAGATTGTTTTCCTAAATGCAGAGAGGACTGAGTGCTATTTCCTTCTCTTCTTTATCCCCATCTGATTTATACAGTCATACTTTAGGCAACAAGTTAATATAAAAATTCATTTCCAGACATTCTTCTGAGGAGATATCTATCTTTAAAATAGCACATTTGAGATCTGGACTAAGAAGTGAGGTATTTTTAAAACTTTATCTTATTTTATGTGTATGGGTGTTTTGCCTGCATGTATATGCATAGCCGCTGGAGTTGGAGTTACAGACAGTTGTGAGCTGCCATGTGGGTGCTGGGGATTGAACTCAAAGTCCTCTAGAGGAGCAGCCAATACTCTTAACAGCTGAATCATCGTTCTAGCCCTCAAAAATCATTTTTTTTAAAGGTTAAAAAGAAGATCCTGGGCTGGGTGGTGGTGGCACACACCTTTAATCTCAGCACTAGGGAAGCAGAGGCAGGTGGATCTCTGTGAGTTCGAGGCCAGCCTGATCTACAGCGTGAGTTCCAGGACAACCAAGGCTACACTGAGAAACCCTGTCTTGAAAAGCCAGAAAAAAAAGAAAGAAAAAAGGAAGGAAGAAAGGAAGGATGGAAGGAAGGAAGGAAGGAAGGAAGGAAGGAAGGATGGATGGAAGGATGGAAGGAAGGAAAAGAAAATCCTGGGATGGTAAAGAGATTTTCCAGAAAGGTCTCTATTCCCTACCTCTTATTACCAAATCCTTGTGGCTTCTCACATCCTTTGGGAAGAAGCTGGGTAGCTGTTCCACTTGGCAGCTGCTCTCTCTGGGGTCTAGGAAGGAAAAAAAATGGGTCAGGATGTCCTAGGTCCTCTCCCTTTAGAATTCGGAGGCAGGGGAAGAGATGAAGTTTCTGCTTATAAAACTTAGAACTGGAGAGATCAAATACTCCCTAAAAAAAGATTTTAAAACACATGGCCAAATACATTTAAGTAGGAATTGTTACATTATAAAGAAAACTGAATACCAATGTATTCTTTCTGAGAGAAAGAAAAGTGAGAGATGTAATTGCTAAGTTAATGAAAAAATAACCCATCTATTCTCTTTAAACAGTTTATTTTCTTGCTCACTCCTGTTCTATCTGCCTGATGTATTTTTTCTTAAACAGACAGGGTTTCTCTGTGTAGTCTGGAACTTGTTCTGTAGAACAGGCTAACCGTGAGCTTAGAGATCCACCTGCCACCACTGCTCAGCTTCTGCTTGCTGTATTAAGGAGAGAACCTCGAAGGTTTAATATGCATTCCCTTGGATATAGGCTCTCTATAGTTTCCCACAGAGCTATAGACCATACTTATTTATGTTTTGTGGTATGTGGTTCACAGGGTGTGGGAATTTTCTTTCTCAGCTTTTCTTATTTTCTTTTTGAGATAAGGTCTCACTATGTAGCTCTAGCTGGCCTAGAACCTGGCTGTGTGGACTAGGCTGGCCTGGAATTCAGAGAGCTACCTGCCTCTGCCTTCCAAGTGCTGAGAATCAAAGCGTGCTGTAGTGGCTAAAGGACTGGCTCAGTGGTTAAGGGCACTGGCTGCTGTGGTAGAGGACCAGAGTTCAATTCCCAGCTCCCACATGGTGGCTCACAACCATTCCTACCTCCACTTCCAGGGGATCTCATGCACTTTCCCTCCCTCCAATGGCACCAAGCACACATGTGGTACACAGACATACATGCAGGCCAAACATTCATACATAAAATAAAATGAATAAGTCTAATAAAAAATTTAAAAAGCATTCTCTACCACATCTAGCTTCAGCTGTCTTTTAAGAAAAAGAAGACTGTAATCTCTCTGTAGCCCAGGCTGGCTCTGTTCTGATGGCAATCCTCCTACCTCCATCTCTCAAGTGCTTTGGTCACAAGCGTGAATTTTCTTAATTTGCATTAACATGCTACTGCTACCCCTTATACTGTGTTGCTTTAACCTCTAGCTAGCTAATTTTAGAGAAGAAATGTTTAGGAAACTCTGAAAAAAATCATATTTTAAATAAACATTTACTACCAGGGCAAAGGCAGAGCTAAGTGACTGAACACTTGCCTAGCTTCCTGAGGCTGGCTTTCAAGCCTCAGCACAAAACAAACAAAATCCCCAAGTCAATCAACACTTACCAAAGAGTAGCACACAGTGCCACTCCACCCCATATCACCTTTCCCTCAGCTTGCCCCATTAACATTTCCATTTAAATCATATGAGTGTACCACCTTAAAAAAAAAAAGGCTACGTCTTATGAGGGGTTAATTAAAAAGCTGTGGTACTGTCTCACAATGAGAGCTGTCTGACCATGTTTTTATTGTTATCCCTGTAATCGAGGAAAAAGAAGGCCCACACTCCCAGAAGACTTCTTATGAAACAGATAGATGTCTCCTTGGGTTTAATGATCAGATATATAGGCTAATTTCTGCAAAGTACAACTCGGGTATTGGCTAGATCCCTATCTGATAGAAGAGACTCCAAATTCTTTCTAGGCTTCCTTTTGGATGTTCTAGCATATTATGTTAGAGAAGTACTTACCGTTCTTGTTGGAATGATAGGATGCAATGATTAGACTGAAGACCAAGATCGTATCCATGCCAACCTGACCTCATGAGCACTTTTTGCCTACAGCCCACTGTTACTCCGTCATAGCCCCTTACAAGCTTTGCCTCTTGTTGCTTTTATTGTTATGAAGTCAAGTTTCACTTTGACTATCTGGTTCTACCCTGACTATTTTGCCTTGTTTCCTGAAGACCCAGGAATATACTGATTGGAGAAAGAACAAAAACTGCTCATTAATGATTGACTTTGATAGTCTGCCCTGACTTCACTGCTGATGCCAACTTTGAGAACTGTCATTATCTAGAGGTTTCCCTCAGAGAAAGTACATAAACACCCAAAGATATGCTTTATAAATACTTGCAGATAGACACGTAGTCATTCACAAGTGTGCTCTCTGATGGAGGCACATAGGTATACACACCAACATTAAGAGATATGGAGGTGCCTATTAAGAGGTATAGTTTCTAGGACAGGAGAAGAAACTAGGACTGAATGAGTCAGTGCCTTACGCTGGGGAGAACATTGGACTTTAGCAATCAGTAGAAGTGAGTTCTAGTTCAAGCCTTTTTGGACACCTTGGAGAAATTACTTGGCTATTCAGACTCAGTTTTTCCCTTGTATAAATGGAGTCTCAACCAAAAGATCTCTGGAATTCATTTACAATTATAACCATAAGTTCACATGAGCATAGGCATACCTATGGAATTGTGTATATTTTCACATTCATGAATAATGGAATGAGTATAGTCAAAACAACTTTATTGTGACTACTGGGTCAAGAGGTATGAGAAAGTGCTACAAACAGCGCATGAGTACTACTGTCTGCAGTTGACAGTAGTTGCTGTTGAATATATATAATTAGTATTATGCTCTAAAGACTTTTTAAAAAGAGGTCTTCCCATATGGCTCAGACTTTCTTGAAACTCATGCTGTATTCCAGGCTGGCCTTGAACTCATGATCTTCTTGCTTCTGCCTCCCAAGAAGAGAGATTACAGGTGTGTATCACTACGCCTAACTGAAGACTTCTTGATAGCATCGCTAGGTGAGGTCATAAAGAAGAAAACATCTAGTTAGATATTTGTCAGTGTTCAGAGCCTTCACAGCCTTCTGCCTGCTGTAAATATGCTTCATTGAGGCTAACATGGGCTTAGCTATGCATGAGAAGGTTCTGGAGGCTGAAACTTTTGATTGATAGTCACATAAAGAGTTGGTTCAAAGAACTTTTCATAAGGGCTTTGTGATATTTTAATCAAATTACAATAAGTGTCCCGACACATCAATACAGCTTGAAATCTGGCCAAACTAAGCACCAAAATCTTGATGGGAAACATTAATGGAAGGGAGATCCTTAAAGGACAATCTGTTAGCTCAAAGAGAGAAGGGATTAAGGAAGCAGCCGGCATCCAGCCCAGCAGCAAATCCTTGTGGGCCTTTTCCTCTGCTGCAGTTGCTTTCCTGGGTTCTCGTGGTTTTTGTTGACAGTTAGTTCCCTTACTGTGTTCACATGATTCTCTACTCCCTGGTGGTGTTGACACATTCTCTGCTGCTCTGTTTAAAAATTGCTGTAGCTGCCGCATGACAATGCTGCCACCTCGCAGCAAAGGCAGGAATGACTCTGAAGTCTCGCTTCTCACCCTGCGTCATAAAAGAAGAAAATCTCATTTTTCCCAAAGGCAATCTCATGTATGACTAGATGAAATTGCAATTTTCTTTTATAAATTCTTGGAGATGTTTTCTTTTCGTGTGTGTGTGTGTGTGTGTGTGTGTGTGTGTGTGTGTACATGTACTAGGGACTGAACCTACTCATATATGTCCTGAAGTCAAATTGAATGTTGAAACATGCCACACTGTGGAGCAGAGACACAAAACTAAAATTAAGACAAAATATCTAGTGGTAGAGGTGATGTGTCCTGTTGTGACCTCTGAAAGAGAGTAGGAAATAAGGCATGAACAGTCAAAGTGGGTCTGGAAGAGAAACCCTTGACGAGAAGTTTGGTTTTTCGAGACAGGGTTTCTCTGTAGCTTTGGGGCCTGTCCTGGGACTTGCTCTGTAGGCCAGGCTGGCATCAAACTCACAGAGATCTGCTTCCCTCTGCCTCCAGAGTGCTGGGATTAAAGGCACGCACCACCAGCGCTCAGTGCCAGGAGACCTTTCAAGGTTCTAGTTGAGGCCTTGTAATTGAATCATTTCAAGGAAGTTCCTTAACCTCTTTGGGCCTTCATTACTTCAGTCCTTCTACCATGTAGATTCTGGGAAATGAACTGAGGTTGCCAGGCTCCACAGTAAGCACTTGGCCATCGCACTGCTGGGCCATCTCACCAGTCTTAATTAATTTATTTCTTGAGACAGGGTCAAACTTGAACTTGTGACAGTCTTGCCTTAGCCTCCACAGTGCTAGGATTATGGGGATAAACTACCATCTCCAGTTTAGGAATTATCTAATCCTTTTTTTTAAAAATAACGTTTTATTTATTATGTATCCAGTCTGCATGTGTGCCTGCAGGCCTGAAGAGGGCATCAGATCTCATTACAGTTGGTTGTGAGCCACCAGGTGGTTGCTGGGAATTGATCTCAGGGCCTCTGGAAGAGCAGCCAGTGTACTCTTAACTGCTGAGCCATCTCTCCAGCCCCTATTATCTAATTCTTATCACCACAAATGAGTTTTGCCTTTGCCTTTTTTTTTTTTTTGTCTTTTTCTTTTTGTCTTTTTTGTTTGTTTGGTTTTGCTTTTTTGAGACAAGGTTTCTCTGTGTAGCCCTGGCTGTCCTGGAACTCACTCTGTAGTCCAGGCTGGCCTCAAATTCACAGAGCTCCGCCTGTCTTTGCCTCCCAAATGCTGGGATTAAAGGCATGTGCCACCACTGCCTGGTGAGTTTTGCCTGTTTTAAAAAAAAAAAAAACTCTTGTTAAAAATTTTAGGTTGGTCAGGAAGTATAACAAACTATACCCTTTTGCCCAACCATTTTTCTTACAAATATTCACTGCAATGAGTTATTGGTCTGGTTCAAGACCTCTGGCTTCTACTACCCCATCACTACTGAATATTCACTGAGACTACTCTGATATCCTGCTGCTGCTCTGAGTCATGGAGATCCTTTGGTTTTAGTTCCACAGGCCTTCCCCTTCACGTGATCCAGCAACTCATATATTTAAAAATTTTTTTTTGAGGGAGGAGAGGAGGTTACAAGCATGGAGGGCAGATATGGAAGGACTTGGAAATGAGTGGAAGGGGGTGCATAATGTGAAATTCCCTAAGAATTAATAAATAATTGTTTAAAAAATTTTAGGCTTGAATAAAAAGCAATGGGTAACCTTTGTGGTAACCTTTGTATATATGAATCATTATACTTTGTTGTCATTCAGATTTTGTCTCTTATTTATTATTTATATTTATTTATTTATTTATTTATTTTGAGAAAATGGCTTACTATGTAGTTCTGACTGGCTTGCAACTTGGTAGACAGATGAGGCTCACAGAGGTCTGCCTGTTTCTGCATCCTGGAATTAAAGGAATATGTCACCACTCCTGGCCTCGTCTATTCTTTTTTTCTGAGACAGGGTTTCTCTGTGTAACCCTGGCTATCTTGTATCTCTTGTAGCCCTGGTCTACATAGGTAGACCAGGTTGGCCTCAAACTCAGAGATTCACCTACCTCTGCCTCCCAAGTGCTGGGATTAAAGGTGTGCTTCATCACTGCCCCACTGCCTTGTCTATTTTTTAAATTAGAAACTTATGTATGTATGTATTTAATATTTTTTGAGACAATGTCTCTTTACACGGCTGACTGTCCTGAAACTCACTCTGTAGACCAGACTGTCCTGGAACTCACAGAGATCCACTTGCTTCTGCCTCCTGAGTGCTGGGATTAAGGTCACGCATCACTATGCCCAGCACTGTCTTTTATTTTTTGTTCAGTACTAATTTTCAAATTGATTCATAATGTTTCATGTAGCAACCTTTTTTGTAATTACCTTTATAATATCCCATTTTATGAATGTAGCAGAATTTAAATACTCTATTGTTGTTAATATTTTGGACCATATTTGAAGGTTTCCCAGAATATAAATACAAAGGTTGAAGCTGGATTAGAGGGTATGTAAGTTATGCTCAGCTTGACTATTTATAGTAAATTATTTTCTAAGAAGTTGTTTTCAATAGTAATTCCATTTGTAACATATACCTGTTCTATATTCTTTAAAATTTTTTTTATTAGATTTGCTCATTTTGTGTGTAAGCGTTTTGCCTGCATGTGTGTATATGTAGCATGTGCATTTTTGGTGCCCTCAGAGGTTAGAGGAGAGCATCAGATCCCCTGGAACTGGAGTTATGGGCCATGGTGAGCCACCGTGTGAGTGGTAGGAATCAAACCTGGGTCCTCTGCAAGAGCAATAAATACCCTAAACCACTGAGCCATCTCCTCAGATCCTTGTTTCATGATCTTGACAGAGGGGCCAGAGAACTGTTCCTGAATGACATGAAGTGAGCCTGAGCAGACCAGGTATAGCCCTTCGGTTGGTCTCAAAACCTTAGCTCATGGACATTTGCTCCCTCTCTGCAAGCACATGCTCTGCTATCCTGAATTAATAATGTAGAATTTAATGCCACAGAACTCCTGAAGCAAGTGGGCATCCATTGGAATGTTTTCTAAGTACTCATAGAAAATGTGTGAAGGGGGAATAGTGAGAAAAGAACAAGTAATATTTTCCATGTGCTCCCTATGTCTCAGACTCTACTAGAGGCTTTACATTTTGATTATATTTTATCTAAAAGATCACCCCATATAGCTGATTGTATAGTCAAGGAAACAGAGACACAGAAAAGGAGTCACTTGTTTACAGTCTAATTAGTGACAAAACTAATTAGTGACAGGCTTAGATTTTAGGCTGGTCTCTCTAACTAAATAGCTCAGGTTGGGTGGGTTTCTGTGTTTGTTTGCTTTGTTTTTTAAATAATGTATAGCACAAAATAAGCTTCCCTTAATTTTGTCTTAGATTACCAAGAACCAATTCTTCTAAATTTGTATGGACCCCTATGCAAAAGATTATGGGCATTTCATCCATTGATTTAAGCTGCATTTCTTTTTGGTTATCATCTTCCTGATTCCATTAAGCAAATCAGTTGCATGGGAACAGGAGATGCACTGGATTTGTGCAATAGCTTTCTATCTATATGTCTGGGTTATTTATCAGAAGTGCTTTTCTCT